GAGACTAACCAATTTATTTGAGCATAAGCTTTCATGAGCTACAGCTCACTTCATCGGATGCATACTGTGGAAACTGCAGAAGACATTATATACACAGAGACCATGAAACAATACCTCCTCCCACCCCACTCTCCTGCTGGTAATAGCTTATCTAAAGTGATCACTCTCCTTATATAACTCAATTAGTCATGCTAATCTTCTCAAAACTCTACTTAGCGGCAAGTTATTTCCAGTATGGAACAATAGCAGGATGGATAAAAATCAACTGTTTTTGAAAGAAAAATAAAAAAATGTTTTATTTACATCAGATTTTTTAAATTTTGTCATTTAAATTATAAGTTTCTCTTTTTAAAATTAAACCTGTTTTACAAAACATATTATAATCTTTTAAAACATTTAAATAAAAATAAATATGCTGAATCCGTGAGCCTCTATAAAACTTTGAGATAAAGGCTGCTTTTCTATATAAAGAAAGAATTAAGGAAAAAACATCTAACTTTTGAGGTCAAGCTTAATAAATATAGCATAACAGGACAGTCTAATTTAAGAGATTGTCTCATTTCAAGAGCTAGGCAAAACTAGCAACATAAACTCCAGTCACTTTCACTTAGGTATATTTGAATATTTTCCCAGGCTGATCTGAAATAATCAGTTAAATTCACTGACTACAATTAGTCCCTCAGTTTAATAAATCATTTAGCTGTAAATGTGAAACATGTTTTGATAAGAGAAGTTTATGTATTCAAAACATTTAAGGTTGTTTTGTTTAATAAAAATAAATTTGATATGCCATTTTATGTGATTAATTAAATTCCAGTTACCATCCCAATGAGGCTTCACACAAATCACAAGCAAGAAGCTTGTAAATAAGCAATATATCATTCACCATTTTCTAACACACTAAAAATGTACAGTTAATAAGAATCTGAAAATACTGACCTATATAATTTCTTATATTCTGGTATTATATATATAGTATATATTCTTATATTCTGACCTATATAATTTCTTATATTTGGTTTGTAGACACCAAAAAGATGTACCACATCTAGTGTAAATGCCCTGTTTAGTTGTAAATCAACATATTTTAATGGTTATAACAACCGAGTGTGCACCTTTCTTTAGAAAATAACTGAAGTACAAATGGAAAAGTTGATTAAAATTTACGATTTAAATCAAGGCTTTCCACTTGGTGATTTAAATCATGATTTAAATCAATGTACTCTGAACAAAAGCATGGTTTGTTTTAAGAAATTCACTACTCAGCATATTAGTTTTACAATCCAGGTCACAAATCAGTGTGATGACTATAAAATTATTTGTTTTAAAGGAAAAATAAAGACATGATTTGCCTTCTGATCCCAGATGTCTTTATAAAGAAACAAGTTGAAGAGTAGATTATATGGGAAGAGAAAAAGTCCCCACTGTATTGCCACTTGCACTATTTGTAGTCATTTGTGTAGTTTTAACAGGAAAATGTTACTGGCTACCTGATGGGGTCAATATGGAGAACAAGATCTTCCACTAAAAATCAAATCAAGAGAGACTCTTGCACCTCTTTCTACCTCCTTCCTTCAAGAAATCAAACAATTAGTTCTCAAGAGCTTGTCAAATTGGTTCTTATATGAAGCTGCATTGCAAAATACACCATAAACAACTTGGATATAGAACATAAAATGTAGCATCCTTGTAACTATATGAGAAGTGTAACATTTAGCCCACTGGACTATTTGCTCCTACTTCTCTTGTCTGCTTATATTTCTAGGAGAAGGAAAGAGTTCATTTGTGAATATAATAAAATTGTTTTAATAAATGCTAATAATGCCAATAATGAAAATCCACTACTATCACTTCTAAGATTATATACTTTTAGGGAGTATTGTGTATCAGCAGAATGGGAAGAATTCTTACAGCATAAAAGATTAAACCAGTATCTTCACCAAAACTCCCATACTGAAAAAAAAAATTAAGTTGGTCTAGGTGAAGACAAATGGTCTAAGCCCTTAAACCAATTGTACTCTGAGGCACTGTTTGACATGCTAACTTTACAAGTGCACCTGCACAATAAAAGGTGTGTTTCTAATACAACTATCAAGCAGAAGAGGGCAAACTTCTATCAAGACAAGAAAAGGGATTTTAATTAATGAGTGCTGCTGTAATCCTAATGCTTCAGGTCTTCATTTTTCTAATTTAGGTTATGGCACTTTACATCTAAGGAATGATTAATTAAAAAAAATTGAATAGAAGCCAAGGTTTAAAGATCCTCAAGTGGTGTGACTGTAGAAGTGCAGTATGCTCAGTTGTCTTCTAGTGTCTGACCTCTCTTTTTTACAGATTAACACTAATTCTAGAAGCGAATTTCTGGTTATCTTGCCTAGGGCTAAGAAGAAATTACTTAAATTATAAGAAAAGTCCCATCTCAAGGACAGCAAAACATTTATTTTGAGGAATCAGAATTAGTGAGAACCCTAAATGAATGACACAGAAGCCCTCCTGCCTTCATGTTAGCCATTCATTCATCAAAAAGACCTTTATCCCCATTCCTATTGTGACAGCTTTGTGGCCTTCTTGAGAGAGAGTGCAGTTTGATGTTATTCTGGCTGTAATGCAAAGATCAAACAGTAACCCCACGTATCATCACAGAACTGTTGATCGAATTGTAGTCGTTGCTCTACATGAATTTCATAGATTTCTAAAAAGCCTTTGACACAGTGGATAGAACTGTTTACTGGAAATTGCTGCGTCACTATGGAATCTCCCAGAAATCTGTGATTATTCTTCAAAAGCTTTTATGAAAATAGAACATGCAAAGAATTACATAGCAGCAAACTGACTAAGCCATTCAAGGTAACTACCAGCATCAGACAAGTACATCTTATGTCACAGATGACTTTCCTACTAGTAACAGACTGGGTCATGAGAAAAACCACAAACAGCCCAGGGGTTTGCAACGGACTTTCACACAGAAACTAGAAGACCTTGACTTTGCAGATAACATCAGCTTGCTGTTCCATACCCACAAAGATATGCAAGCTAAAACAAACCATCTCCAGACATATGTTACTCGGGCTGAAAATCAACACTAAGAAAACTAAAACCTTGAGAATCAACCCCAATAACACTTTCTGGGATTAGAGAGGCATAGTAGGGGAGGTAATACCTTTTACTGGACCAACTTCTGTTGGTGAGAGAGCAAGCTTTTGAGATACACAGAGCTCTTTCTCAGGTCTGGGAAAGGTACTTAGAGTGCCACAGCTAAATACAAGATCAAACAGATAGTTTAGCAAAAATAGTTAGCATATATGCTAAGGGACCATTCTGGGATTGACATACAAGAGGTCTGACACTTCACATACCTTGGCAGCATCATAAGCAAAACTGGTGGAATAGATGAAAGAAATTAACAACTAGGGGTCTCAAAGTTATTTAGAACAGGGGAATTTGTCTTTATAGCTTGCGACATACAAGCATGCACATAAAATTGGCCATAAAGGTAAGGAGACTAAGTAGATGAACCCACAATGGAAGTCTCTGGGTCAAAATCAGCAACTTTAACAGGTGGTCTAAGTAGACTGCAAAACAGGTGATGTAACTTGTACTGATTAGGTATTCAGTAGATGTGAAAATGAGTGCAGCTTACCGATCTAGGAGATGTGTGTGGATTGTAGCAAGAAAAGCAACTAAATGGGAAGGTGTAGGAGAAAGCAGCCCTCCAGCTTACCTTTCATCCTCTTCTTAGTTCTTTTCCTGCTCCAGACTCCTTGGTGCGTAAAGTTATACTCATTTTGCACCCCCCATTAAGTACCAAACTAATACAAAATACTCAACTTTACCACTTTCATCCATTTTTTAGAGTTCTTATGAATGATGAATATATTATATTTAAGTCATGGCTGAATTTTGCTCAGTATGTATGCACAGTTCTACATTTTTGGTGCAGAAAATCTCAGCCAGCAGCACTTTTTGTATCTAGTTTTACAATTTTAAAATACCTCCACCACTTGATATCATACTAAAGCAATAAAAAGTTTCTAATTTGGACTCTAAATATTTCAAACAAATTTGGTTTTATTGTAAATACATTTTTGAGGGCTGTCAATCTACAATATAGCTAGATTTTTATATTTTGAAAGAACGTATAAGGCAGCTGAGTAATGGCTATTGAGTAGACGCACTGGGATTTTTCCAAGATGTATTTTACTTTCTCTAGTTGGACTTTGAGTCACTGTTTCTGCTCTTAATCCATGTGTGCTGATGCGAGGAACCATAAAATCCTGTGGTTTTGTCAACTCTATGGTTTGCCAGCAATATGAATCACCATAGGACACACCTACTGACCCGTTTGCTATTTCTTCCTGGCTTTAGGTCTCTCTCCAAGGGCAGGTAAATAACCATCTCCCTTCAGGTTCCACAGCTGTTGCTTGGAGTAGAAACCCAGAAACCACAGAGTTGCTGGGTGACCATGAAAAACGAGACCTTTACATGTAGCAATACGTTCGGATCTGTTGCTGCTGGTCCAAAGGTTGCGAAGATTTAGACAGAGGAGTCATTGTAAAGGTATGGAAATCACTCTGATTTCCACTGTTAGCTACCTACATCTCTCATCTTAGATCAGCTCAACTCAATTGTGCAACAGATTACAGGTAATCATAATCCTGCAACAGCCTTTGTAATGACTGATATCATAAAAACTGATGAGGGGAAAGAGTATAAAGGGTTAGATAAATACATTTCAGCCAATGGACAACGAAAAAGAAAATGTGACAAGGGTTAAGAAACAAATAAGAATTGAATTATCCTTAGCAACAAACACTTGATTAAACATTCAAAATGTGAAGCCTCCTCCCCCGATCTCCAATGATACCTGTTCCTCAAAAACAATGCTAAGAGGAAGTAGATGTTTCTTATGTGGCTTACAGACACTTGTCTGCTAAACTATCAGACCATAAAATAACAGTGTTGATGATGGTAAAGGGAAGAAAGAACGGTTTAGTGCTTACCTGTTTCTGTGTGGAGGCTCCCATATGTACCTGACAGAACTTGACTGCCTGTTCCAGGGCCACTTCCTCATCCACCTGAATAAAGAAGGACACTTGATGAAGCCAGTATGATTTAGTAACTGGCAGGAAATCTATCACTGATTTCAGTGGAGCAGAAGCAGTCCTTTGAGTTCTAACACAGTGTGGGTATGACTTTGCTTCTTGCAAACAATGCCCTTGTTCTGGCAAGAGGCTCTGTAGCAAAGTGCCCCCTTGCCCAGAGGCAGTTTGGTGGGATGGTACGAGGCCATCTGAAATATGTGGCGCCTTTTATATTTTGTTGGATATGGTGTTCACTGTTGCTCTCTGGTTTAAGCTGACTGATTAAACTGTCACCAGTGCAATAGGCAGATTCAGACTCTATGCTAACAAAGCCATTGCAAAATTTTAAGCAGGGAAGTGCTGAAGGCCCACTCTCCCTATTACCCAACTGCATCTACTATCAGTGAACCTTACTGACCAAGGAAGCAAAAAAAAAAAACAAAAAAAAAAACTTCCCCTTGCACCCTCTCTGGCAAGATCATAAATCAGAAATGTTTGTTAAAAAGCAGTTGTTTTAATATACTTTACCTTATAGATAGGACATGATGCAACTCCAAAAAATTAAGAGCTCCGAAGTAAGGATGCATTAGGGATTTATGTTCCTAACATAGACGACATATTTTGATTAATATTCACTCCCTGCCACCTGATTCATAAAATGGCAATGGTAAAAGAGAGACAAGGTGGGTGAGGTAATATCTTTTATTGGACCAATTTCTATTGATAAGAGAGACAAGCTTTTGAGAGAGACACAGAGCTCTTCTTCAGGTAACACAGGAAGCTGTTTGCCCAAAATCTACAGAGAAAGTAGAACTGATAGTAAAATCACTTGCCTGTTTAATCAGCATGTATGTTTCTGACATGATCTTCTCAATCCTGCCCAGGTCATAGGCCATGACCTTCTGACCTTGTTGCCACACCCGGTAGGCATCCAGTAACAGAGTTTTCCCAGACTCTGCATCATCTATTAACTTCCTCTTTCTGTTTGCTCTCTGGACAGCTTCCTCCACAGGTGCTGCCTGAACTGTTCCTTTAGCTGCCTGCTGTTGTTGCTGTTTTGAGCTGATACTTAACTCCTCCAGGGAGAGTTCTGCAGTCCTGCTTTCAGGGGTTTTGTCCTTTGAGTTCCTGCCAGACTGAACACGATCTGGCTCAGTATGTTTAAAGGAAGAATCAATTTTTTCAGGGTCTTTGGAATATCCATCAAAATCCATGGGCTCAACTGAGCCAGGCCTGCGGCCCTCTTTCATCTCCTTGTCATTCTTATCCTCTTGTTCCAATGTGTCCATAGCATTGAGGGTTTGTCTCTGGGTCACTTCTTTTACTCCATTCTCAGTACCACATACTGCTCCATCAGAGAAGCCTGGCTTTTTGGGAAGAACCTCCTTCCCTTCTTCAGCACTAGCTTTGTTGGAGACGTCTGTTGTCATCTTTCCTACTGCAAGGCTACAAGATTTGGAACCTTGATCTTCTGATACCTTAAAAAAAGAGCATCCTTTTTAATTAACACTGAATCAGAAGCAGCTTAGTGTTTGAAAAGCTAACTACAGGTAACACGAAGGCTGACAATAAGGACCATTGTTGTGTTACTGTCTTTGGTGTTAAAGAGAATGAGTTTATTTAGTATTCATTCTTGCTTAGTACTTTAAAAAAAATCGGTTAAAATTAACTCAAGTCACTAGCTTTAAGACTGGTTATAATATTCTGAGGAAAAGATCACAATTGAACCAATAGCACAAACTGGATCAAAATTGCTATGGCAGGTTTATTTTAACCTTACATTTCCTTTTGTGGCTTCAGTCTATGCCATATATTTGATTAGGTAAAATCAGGGTCTAGAATAGCTAGAAATTTCCCCCATCGTACTGCAACCACAACATTTCTTTTGGCACCTAAACACGAACATCAATTTCATAATCTTCATTTTGGTTTCTAAGACATAACCTTCTCTTATGGTTAGAGGCTTGAAAGGTATCATGGACTCTGATCTAACATTTGAATGTCGTAGCTTTGCTGTAGTGAAATCTGCCTTTGGAATGTCACCAGAGGACACCTTCCCCTCTTTCAGGCCACAGCTGGTCTCACCTGCTATTGCTGCCATTCTTACTACACCCAGATGGAAGAACTGCAGTACATGCAAAGGGCCAACTCCTTCAAACTTGTTTTCAGTAAGTTTATGAGCTTGTACTCTTCTTAACCAAAGAAATCCTTAGGCCAGAGCTCTTCCCTTGATTTGTTTGCCTAATATGCTTCCAAGTTCCAGGACTTATCTACACAGCAAATTACTGCATGGCAAGCCAGGATGTGAATCTACAGCACACTAGCTTGCTGCACAGTAACATCACTGTGGACACTGCTACATTGCAACCGGAATGCAGCTTGGAGTGCTCTACTCTAGGATTTTCATTGCACTGTGTCAGTGTCCACATGGGATATTACCACCGAAAAGCTGATGTGCTGTAGATTGGCACCCTGGCTTGCCACATAGAACTTGCCATGCAGACAAGCCCTGATACTGATTTAACTTGCAAACAATATGGAATGTTGGATGCTCACTGATTCAGCCGCTTAGCTCTTTTTCAGAGAGACATGAGACATATGGCTATTCTTTTATTCGTTTCACAACATGACTGGAATCTGAATGATACCAACATAACATGCATGTGGCTCTGAAGAAAAAGTATTAAAGAAACAAATCCAGACCTACAGAGTCTAGGTTTATTCTGCTAGCAGAGCCTCAGGTCATGTTAACGAAAGATCCTGGGCCAGATTCTGCTCACTAGCATTGTTTCACACTAATGGAATTACGTGGGGGTAAGAGCAGTTATTTCCGACTTCCACAAGTTTAAGGAAAAGCAGAATCAAACCCACTCTTCATGAATGTCTCTGGTTTTCAGCACTGAGCAATAGGCCACAACTGTACTGCACCACTGAAATTTTCTGGGCAGTTGCACAGATGCTTTCTTACCTCTGTCAGCTCGTTGAGTGTGTCCTCCAATACTTTCACTGTGAGAACAAAGGCTCTTTGTGCAAGAACTTGACGATCTGCATCCCGTAAGTACTTTCTATGCCACAATGAGAAGATGAGAAAGCAAATTAAGCATCAAAAAGTTCTAGGGTTTTAAAAACAAGAATAAATGTAAACTTTCTAAAAAAGATAAAACCCGTTTAGAACAGATGTTGCAGGGAAAAAAGCCAGCAAAAATTTACACTTCTACACTAAATTGCTTCAAACTTCCCCCATACCCCTCCCAAGTTTGAGAGGCACTTTGTGGAGAGGGGTATTTGTACTGGCAAGACGCTGATACTATTATCTATAGGTGTGAAAAATGTGGGAAAATGGTGTACAAATTTTCCCATACAACTCTTTCAAAATCCCTCAAATTCTGGCCTACAACATCTCTGTTAGTCAAAATCTGGACTTCCCCTGAGCAGAGGATGTCAATTATGCAGAATTAGGCTGAATTGTGAGGTGGTTTTTGTAACATGGATAAATGTCCATTTGAGGCTAAAGGGAGGATCAGTAGATTATTTTGACTTGTGTTCCAAGTTGCCTTTGAATCCAGATTTCTAGAGTTAAAAAGCTAGTGAATTAACGCATATAATTCCTATTGATTATTTACATTAAATCCTAATTATTTACATTAAGTGCCACAGAAGCCTCACTGAGTTGCAATTCATAATTGTGTATTTCACTTTAAAAGAAACAGTTTTTAGAGAAAGTGTTCTCAGCAACCAGCGTCACCCATCCACGGTAATGAAAAACAGCATTTCAGCCTCAAAGTTGACTATTTCTAACCAGAACTGGCTACAAATGCAGAAACTACATTTAGTCAGAAATGCACCAACTGTAATGTGTATTTTTATAGTATTTACGTAATCAAACCTTTTTCTGTTTTGTTTTTCAAATGAATGATTACTGAATAGATGACAATTTTCTGATTTATTACAACTGACAGTTTATTTGAATTAAGTTAAAGTCATAAAGAAAAACCCTCTTTAGTAAAACAAAAAATATCAAATGTAATTGGTACATGCTATATATACCCCAATATTTTCAGTTACAGACGCCTCACATGGCTATAGCTTGCAATGGTTGGCACAAGCGGACCATATTTTAGATAAGTTGAGAATAGTCTAAACTTCAGTTTAGAACTGTAAATGATTATGCTGTATTTTGAAAACAGCATGGACTGGCCTGGTATAAATTTAAAGCTTTCTGTCCTCCAGTACTTTTGATATGCTAAAAATTAACATATTTTTGGCTGCAACTTTGCTGAACATGTGATCACATATACATGAATGTACTGCACCATATGCAAACTCACAGGGTCTCACACAGTGAGCTGTGTAATGCTTCCAGCCACTACAGCCTGTTGCCATCCACCTTAATTTCAATTTCTTAAAAACTTCATCCTGTACATATTTCCTTCTCAGTAACCAACTGGAATTTTACTGTGTTTTTAATTTACCCTGCAATATTTAGATTCTGGCCTTTCTACCTATATATGCAGCTGACAGTAAAATGACACTCGTTCAAATAAAATTAATGTAATTAAAATTAGATCACTCCTGTAATTAGATCAACTCCTATATCGTGGCAGTTGCCATCAGCCAGTTAGAGGCTAGTCAGTCACTCAGGAATTGCAGGGACACAGGAGTGCCTGAGCCTCAACTTCTGAACATGCCTCCTGTGTCAGAGGTGAGGAAAGGGGCGGTATATGCTACTATGGTGCCTCTATGACACCTATGATTCTCCTCATATAAGAGGAATCCTCAGGTCAGGTAAGCCAGCTCACTGGCTGCTTTGTGCTGGAGGAGTGTAAAGCAGCTCTAGTAGGGATAAGAATCTGACCCCCAGAGTCATAGGTCTCAGTACCATTTTTAAGCATAGTCAAAATTCCTCAGAACCATATTAATTCACTCTCTTGAAATATGTTTTTCCTTCAACAGAAATATAATTTATGGTGTTATAGATCAGGGTTTTGTTTTTATTTTTTAAAGCAGTTAAGTATTTTCCCAAAGAGACAGAAAAATGGGGGGATGGGGGTAGGGGGGAATATTCAAAATGGAAAGAAAAGGTTTATTAAATGAAGACTAAACTTATGGCCTCACTTTCCCTGATCAGGTGTCCTCTGCAGCATGGAGGAGACTTTCAGCAGGGTGTTGTAATCCTTGAGCTGAGACAGCACATTCAGCAGCAAGACAATGGAGCGGTTCATATGAGATGCAAAGCTGCCCGGGCGGTCGATTTCATCCACAGGGATTCGCCAGATTCCCTGCAAAGAAATGAAGAGAAGAAGCCTCTAAAGATGGATCCATGGTAAAAGACAGAATAGAAAACTAAAAATATGGACCAGGTTCCTCTGTGTTCTCTGGATACTGTTTCAGTATGAGACTGGGTACAATGAATGAACTAATGCAATGGTTCTTTAAATAAGGAAATTTGGATAAGGAACAGAGTCTTACAGAAGCCACAGTACGCACCTTAGATATATTTGCCAACGAATTCCTGAAAAAGGCAAGAGAAGGTTAATTATTATGAGGGGTTTTTCTGAACCTCACTAAGTTCAAAGGTTTTAGTGTTTTAGTGTTTTGTCTTCCCAGCTGATGCAGCCCTACAAGTCAATTTATTGTTCATTTATAAATGAATCGTACGAATGGAAAGCAGCTAACTATGTAATCTCCTGGTTTGTTCTGACAGAGTCCACAACTCTCTACCTCATCTTTCACTTGCATTATGTAGCTTGCTCAGAGCAAACTTTAGGACATGACACCAGAAATCAGCTGACAATGCTTTCCTCCAGCTTCTTCCCATCTGCCCAGTAAACATTTTAACTACTTTCCCACACACACTGAGTATCATCTGGAAAGTTAGAGGATGATCATTTTACAGGTCTCCAAGCACGCTTTGTTTGAAAACTAAAGTGTGCGGCAGGATTACCACTCAGTAAACTATCTTGCAACAGGTTATGATATCAAATCATCTAACCAAAATTACTATTGGGGAAATAACTTTCAGGCAGCATTTAGCCGCTTGTGGAGAAAGGCTCACCTCCACACACTTCAAGCCTCCAGAATGCTCAAGGTCAACTGAGCACAGTTTACAGTGTTACATTTCTACAGTTATGGTATTACCATATTTTGGTACTAAACAAGAAAAAAAATTAATTATTCATGTACTTTGCGTAATCTTACCTACATACATACTGATGCTACTGTGCTGAAGAAAATAATCCAGGTGCCACTTACCTGTAAACTCATCTCCTTTCAATGTTCTACAATTACAGGATGAAGAAAGAGATTTAAAGGGAAGCTTCCTCATCAATTCTTGCACTGACTTTTCATAGTCTTGCAATGAACTATACAGCTTTATACAAGTGCACTTAATTAACCATGACTACTCCCCTATGCTATCTACTCATCTGGTCTTCAGACCCAATCGTAAAGCATAAAGGAATTTGCCGTTAAGAACCAACTACCTTGCTTGCTTTCCCTCAACTGTCCTTTTGCATTGTGACATGAAAAAACACCAGATGTTTAAATAGTCAACCTGAATCCTACCAGGGCCTCCAGCTGAACCTGAATCCTCCTCAATCTCCCAATCTGAGTTGAGTTAAAGATACATCCTCATCCAGAGTACTCCCAGAAGAATCCCACACATATACATAAAGAAGGATCTAGCCAAGCCTTCACTGGCTGTCATCTATCTCCAAGGAAAATATATTTCTCAATTCAGAACACAAGAACTGCAATAAAAAAAATCTGCTAATTTTAAAAGCCAATTTCTCAGCAGTCAAAGAATCTGGAACTCTTAACTAGAACAAAACACACCATATAGATACACTTGCTGGAGCTGCCATGGAACCAACTGGGGAACAGACAGGAAAAGTTTACTCAGTCTGACTGATGTATCATTATGTTTTCACATCATTTGAAAAGTAAATTTTTTAACCAAATATCCCCTTTAATGTACTCATACTTAACAGTGCAGACATTTTAGACCCAGCACAGACTGACAACATTTGGAGTCCTCTTCAGGGTTTCTATTACTTATAATCACTATCCAGGCCACTTGGCAGAGGTTCTCCCACCCAGTCAGTCACTGAATGGAATTTATGTTCAAAACACCACTCTGTTGCACAGCTTGTGTGTGCTGGCCACCATTCTTTCAGCCTTAAGGCTCTCCTCCCCTTCTGCTACAGCCAACCGAGCTGCTTATATGAAACCAAGAGAAGGAGCAAGAAGCTTTAAAAAGCTTCAAATGCCTCCAGGGCTCCAGAACTCCAAACCTCCATAAACTAATACTCTGCACCCTCCTAACGAATTTTACAATTCTGTTTTGCATTGTTAATAAAAATCTGCAGCTCAGTGAAAATCTGAGGACAACATAAAATAAACTGAAATTTACATCAAAATAAATACAACAAAGAATACTGTATTGATTGCCTTATTCATTTTCACATTTATTTCGAGCTGCTGCAGAATTCAGCACGGAAGCAAGAGGGAGGACCTTGCTGCAGTCTTCAGTTCCAGCTTAATGCAGGGTACACGAAGGCTTCTAGACAGGATTTGGAAAGTATCCATTGTGCCCATCTCAGCCATTCTGAAAACAGATAGGCTGGGAGTGCTAACTGCTCCATGCTGCTTATCTGAGCATTTTTTGAAGGGAAGGGATTCCCCAGGGTCTAGGAATATCTCTTTGGGGAGAAAAAGCTGACAGTCCTCAACAAAATGAGGCTTCTGTGGCTTTCTACTGACACTATACAAAAGCACTCCAACAGATTAAGTATTTGAGTATTCTGGGCACAAGGCGACCTTCTCAGTATGCAAGTTACTGGATTAGCTATAGGATTTCTGTTCTTGGCAATAGCTCTTAAATGAAAGGAGTGGCCCTGGTCACACTCAAGATGTTCCCATCCAGTTGTGAAAAGCAATCCCCGGAACAATTACACTATAACTATAACAAAGTCAGGGCGCTTCAAATTTCATTAGGGTCGTCTCTCCTGCTTCCTCCCTGAACCTCTCAAGAGTGCAAATCACTCCAAAAGGGGGCAGAGATAGGGTCATGGCCCTTTCCCAGCACTGGCCCACAGAGGAGATCATACATATCAGGTAGGAGGGAAACATACTGGACTCCTGAGTCAAACAGGCTCTCTGACCACAGTTCTGGGAGATATTTTTCTTAAGGTATTTATGATACAAACTAAGACACAATAAAACTATTAACTAAACAAAGCAAACCGAGAGCCCAAACTCACCTAAAATGGAAGCAGCTAAAACAGATAATGACAAGCTGTTTGATGCTGGCATCAGAAATTGAAAATCTGTTCTGTTTCAGCATACGATTCCAGAGTATAGGAAAAGTAGAAAGGATGCTCTTTCTTCCCACATCTGTCCTTTTCTAGCAAGGGACAATATTCCTTCTGAATATCAACCCCTGGCCCTGCAGATTTTGTATAGGTGAGCAAGGAAACTTGTTCTTCACATTTCCATCTCTCATACCGTCTTAACTAACATCCTCTATCCAGAAGTTACTTCTAGTATTTTCAGAAAGTGCTCAGTTGAGAAGGAGCAGGAAAGAAGAAAAAGAAATCATATTCAAAGCTTTTAAGAGAGTGATGTGGATGAAATAGAAAGATTAAACTCAAAGCCATGTCAGCTAATAAAACCTACAGCAGCATCCAGAGGGAAAAGCATACATATTTCCTTAGACAAGGTGGATGAGGTAATACCTTGTATCGAACCAAATTCTGTTGGCGAGAGAGACAAGTTGTCAAACTTGCACAAAGTTCTTTTTCAGGTCTACATATTTTCTGGAATTCATTTCCCTTTCTCATTTCTGTTTTACACTATTTGTTTACAGCCACCTGTTTCACTAAGCACTTCTCTTATCCTCAACTAGAAGGCTCTGTTCCCCATCTGGGACTCTTGATGATGCCTGGGATTAATCTCCAGGCAAGTGGAAATCTTGTGAAGACCCAGAGAGTGCACAAAAGAGTGGCAATCCCCCCACCCCACCCACAATTATAAGAACATACAGACACAACATTGGGGACAAAAGAACAGACGAATATTAGTCAACCTGCATAATATCCTTGCCAATGAAAGCACGCTGTCCTTGGACTAATCAAAAGTCCATAACAATATAGCAAACTCTAGGTGGAGGGAAGCCATTGACTAATATTGCAACAATCCAGATCTACACTGTTCTTTATTACATAGCAGCTTAAAGTCAGGAACTGAACTCTCTTAACCAAAAGGAGTGGCCTCTGGTTGCATTAAAGATGCCCCTGTCCAATTATGAAAAGTGTGGGTCATCTCTGTGGATATTCATATCCTAAAGCTACTTTTAAAAATCTACTTCTGGCATGAAGTTTCCACAATCCCCCTCTTGCCCCCCATGGCATCTTTTTACAGTAAGACTTTCAACATGATCCAGACTAGGGGTGGGCAAACATTTTGGCCCGAGGGCCATTTCTGGGTATGGAAATTGTATGGTGGGCCATGAATGCTCATGAAATTGGGGCTGGGGTTCAGGAGGGGGTGAGGGTTCCGGCTGGGGGTGCGGGCTCCGGGGTGGGGCCAGAAAAGAGGAGTTCAGGGTGTGGAGGGGGCTCTGAGCTGGGGCAGGGCGTTGGGGTGCGGGAGGGGTGTAGGCTCTGGGTGGCGCCTAGTTCAAGCAGCTCCCAGAAGCAGCGGCATGTCCCTCCTCCAGCTCCTATGCAGAAGTGTGGCCAGGCGGCTCTGCGCGCTGTTCTGTCTGCAGTTGCCGCCCCTGCAGCTCCCACTGGCCGCAGTTCCCAGCCAATGGGAGCTGTGGGGGCGGTGCCCCCTGGCTGCCTCTAAATGTAGGAGCTGGAGGGGGGACATGACACTGCTTCTGGTAGCTGCAGCACATGCGTGGAGTGGCCCTTGACGCCGTTCCCCAGTGGGAGCTCAAGGGCCAGATTAAATGTGCTGGTGGGCCGGATGTGGCCCACGGACCGTAGTTTGCCCACCCCTGATCTAGGTTAAGATAAGACCTTGGATTCAGGGTCTGGAAAGTAAAGGAGTCAGGTTTGAGCTCTGTGGATTAAATGACTGGCTGTATTTTTCCTTCTCTAGCTCAACCCACTTCCTGCAGCCAACAAAGTGCAATATAGGGTAATAAATAGAAGTATCCTTAATCCTTGTTAATGGCATTACTCCATATAGTGTTGGTCTTGAAGACATCAGTGAGCTTGCTCCAAGAGTGATAAACTCCTGCTGGCTTGGAGAGCAGAGTCCTCAAGTTCAG